AATTAAAAGCCTAAATTTATATGTTTTTAAGCCGCAAATGTCTAATTTAAAGGATCTAAAACAGGCAACGCAACCTGTGAAAGGAATACACAAAGAGAGAGGTCGCCGATGCAAAATAACGATACGCTCATGCGGGACATGTTCGGGGAGGGATACGACGATGACAACGGCGGCAATGACGAGCAGAACAACATCAACATGTTTTTCAGTTGTCGCGATAAGGCAAGAAAAGATAAATGCGTATCGGACAACGGGTTCGTTGTAGGAGACAATAATGAGGAATTAGAAGAAGGAGAAGAGAGTGGCGAAGGTCAAGGCCAAGAAGATGGAGAGGAAGTCCGATCACAAAACAACGATCATTGCATGCAAGACGATAACGAAATGGAAAACTTGGTGCGCACTAGTAGAGGTCTAGCGCTGACAAATAGCAAGGTAATGTCAAACGTTTCGCAGATACCACAACAGATGGTACGACAAGATTCGACGAGTACTCGTAGTTTTCAATCCCCTTTATCATCCATTGCATTACCATCATAAAGCAAATCGCTAATGAGTGACATTTTTCGAGTACCAAAAGACGTCGAAGAATTGGCAAAATGCATCTGCTTTTACATGGGTTTAGAATTTTTACTCGAATTGTTCATTTATTCAAAGCCAAAAGACAAAGCGAAGAACACTCTGTTGAACATCGCCAAGCTGTTACATCTATCAGATGGCGACGTAGAAAGGATACGATCGAGTATAGTGTATCCTGTGAAGCGGGAGTAGTGATAGAGAATCCTTTCCTCGCTTCTGTGACCAAAGTTTTAGAAAATCATCAATTGACCGATCCGGACATTGATCTCATACGCAGACAACTTCTGCTGCGATTAAAGTCGATGGATTATGCCTCCTTCGTCCAGGTCTCTGCAACTGGCAAAAAGACACGAGTAAATTTTCGCTTCGTTCAAGAAATTGTTCAAATGCATGTTGAGATTCAGTGACGTATGCAAGAGGATGCAGCGTTGCTACCCGACCGAGTCTCGTAAGATATCCTGGAGAATACAAAAGAAACTTGCAGCTGGAAAGACATCCGGACCGTTCGTGTCGATCGACAAGACCGAAATAACGACGGTGGTGGAATATCTACGAAAACAAAGTCCCTATCCATGGATGGAAGATAAACGTTTCTTAGACGATAACACGAACAGCAGCGATTCACTTGGCAAAGTGACCCTTCACGTGGATTCTGCGTTTGCCCGGTGGATTTTCATAAAGAAAGAATTGATGAAATACGTGTCAAAAGGGAGAGTGAATGTGTGCACGGACGTAGGATTAGAATGCTACATCGAGATCCCTTTATTGCAGGAGTTGGACAACGAATCTATATCAGAACTTTATAAAGTGAAAGTACGATGGCTGTACGGTGACAACGACAATATAGGGGGGCAAGATGATTTGGGGAAATTGTTCAATGAAGAGGAAGACAAAATCATCGAAGAAGAGTGTTACAATGATTACGAGGAGGATGATGATAACGAATTTTGTAATGATGATGATGATGATGACGAGACAGAAGTAAACGAAACAGACGGACAGCAGAGGATGAATGTACAACAAGAGACTCGTTACGGGTTTGCAATATTCCAAACATATGCACTGATCCACTGCTCGTTTGCACTATTGGGAAAGAGGAAAAAGGAATTTAGAAGAAAGAATTAACAATGAAAACCACTGACCACAACTATTATATGTGTCAGGCATAGAGTGTCATATTGAACGCTTTGTTTGCTTTGCAGCATACTTTTCATCTTTTCCAAAAGAAGATGCATTTCAAAGTCTTGAGGAAAACTTATGAACTGTAAACCATAGAACAGAATTCCCTGACTTTTCCCAGAATTTGAAAATATCAAAGATTTTCCCTGACCTTAAGGAAGGGATAACACGCGAGATTTCATCAGTTTCCTGAAACCCTGGTTCACGTGATTCGTTTTTTGCCATTTTTGACGCCCATGGGGGGCCAGAAGCTGGCGATTTCGCCAGGAAAAATTTATTGGACACAATAACGCAACAGAAAGGGTTTCATTCGGAAGAATAACGGAAGATCGTCAAAGCCATTTGAGATGGTTTTGTTTCTGTGCAGAGCGAAATGTGGAGACACAGAGGTAAGTTAACTTGTGGTATGGTTCATAAAAAAGTGAAAAAAAAACCAAGATTTATCTCACAAGAGCAAACGCGACCTTTGAGTGAAGCAAGAGTTGTATTACAAGGGACAGGGCAGGTAAGAATTTGAGTGCTCTCTTATTTCAAACGCCTATTTGAGACTTTAAATAACGCTATATAAAATTTAAAGGCAGACGAGCAATAGAGACTGAATGCAATTTAGACAAAACAACTTTATTCATCATAGACTTCTAGGAATTGTTTGAACTTTCTGACAAACATATCGCTTCAATTCAATTCGTTTTAACAGATGTTGTTTGAAGGACCTTTGCTTGTGAAATTTTTGTAATTGGTAGGCGAGAAAGCGTTAAGTTTGAATGGAGATGATGTTCTTCCGAGGAGACCAGTATCGAAATAAGATCTCTCCCGATCAAGTTAAAGACAGGGTCACTGCAATGGAGGATTACTTACAATCTATTGGTGAGACACCCCCAGCAGGGACACGGTTGCCATTCACCAGCAAGTTAAAAATTCCCTGACTTTTCACTGACCCTTCATTCAAGAGAAACAATCAATGTTTACGTTCGCTTTAGCTGTTTGTTCAGGCTATTGATATTTTTCTCTTCATTTTCAAGCTCTTTCCACTCTGCAGAAAGAGGAAAAAGGAATTTAGAAGAAAGAATTAACAATGAAAACCACTGACCACAACTATTATATGTGTCAGGCATAATTGTTGCAGCCTACTCAAATTTTTACAACCAGTGTTGCATTGTAAAAAAATCACGCAACCTTACATGTAAAATTAATGTCATTTTTTGGGTGTAACTTAGCTTGAAATAAATACTGCAGATGACGTTAGAATACAAATAAAGTGCCAGACTCTATTTTTTTTTATGAAGCAAAAGTTTGGCCTCTATTGCAATAATTAAAAGCCTAAATTTATATGTTTTTAAGCAGCAAATGTCTTATTTACAGGATCTAAAACAGAAAGCCAAATTGGCCAGAAATGGCCAAAATTGCACCCTGGAGGCTTAAAAATTCTAAAATTTTCTGGGGGAGGCCCCCTAGACCCCCCAGTGGAGAGGGGCGCCCCCCTCCCACACCTACCCCGACTTGGCACTGCATGCCAAGATGGCCGCTCGGCCGCCATCTTTAGTCCCTGCTATTGATACATTTGTTTCTGCTACTTCAAATCTTAACAAAAACCGTGAATGAGTAGAAAAAGAATTACTGGATTAAATCACCCTAGACTATACTTGTTATCAAAATGTCTCGACGACTCCGACGATGCAATATCAGAGTACCTACAGTCTCAATGCACATAATGCAATGAATATACATATGGGCTATTGTTAAAAACCGTTCCATTTCCTGATTTAGTTGTAATTGAGGAAGAAAGTTCAGAGCTGGTCCAGTCAAAAGACTTGTGCATTATTTGCACGGAGTCAGAATCTACGTCCGACAAACTTTTAGTTACGAGATGTTGTCACCAATTTGCTCACATTTTCTGTCTTAGAAGATATTATTGTATTGCCGGTTTATGCTCGACCCAAGACTATGCTGACGAGGTAACAGCCAAGCTTTATAGCGAAAACTGTTTCGTGTGGCGTAGTTGCCCTGAGCAAGAAGCAACCTTAGACCATTTTATTGTGCAACATTTAATCCCTGAAATTAATCCGGACACTAATGACAGAAGGATTCAGGACGCAAATGCGACCCTGAGTAGTCTCTGTGCTGGTCTTACATCCAAAATTTCGCCTCTTTTGTCCAGCTGTAAAGCAGGGTATCTACGCTGCATATATGCTGTGGGTCAATATAGCTCAGAAGACGGATATGTCAAGAAAATCACGCCCGATTTGCCAACAGTTTGCATATTACAACCTCGTGAATTTCAGGAGGAGGTTTTACAGTGCATCAAGCAATTTGGGGAAAATACTATAACGTATTTTTCCCTTAATAAAATAACTGAAATTGTTCCGAGTTTCCATGTTACACATTCGTACATGCAGTTCCGTCCCTCGAGAGACGAAAATGCTGGTCCTTTTGACCTGAAGTGGATTCTGAAAAGTTTAAGTAAATGGAAATTTGCCTTAAGATGCTTCAATGTAAACACATTTGAAGTGAAACTCTGCGAAGAAGAACAATTGGAGCGAATAATATTGACTTTAACTTTTGTAGTTGGTTTTTTTGTGTGAAAGTTGAATTTTATTTTGTAAATAAATGCACTCTAATGATGGTTCATTAGTTTCCTTTTTGAATTTCTTCTCGTTTTTTTAGATTTTTCTTTTAGAAAATCATGATTTGCCTTAGTTTTTCAGAAAAACGTTTTGAGTGCATTGCCTACGAAGGCACCATCTTGCAAAGATACTGCGAGCTTGTGCTGGAACTTGCAATGGCAGTGACATTTCGTTGGCATAGTTCTGATGCGCAACAAAGCAGAGTGGCAGCACGTGATTCATGGGCACGATTTCAAACAGCCTAACTATCCAGCAGTCTACCTTTTCATCATTAAAAGTTTACTTAACCCACGTGGTGAAATATTGTCAATAGGTGGGTTCATACTAAGCTTAGTAAGTATACCTCAAGCATACTTGAGGCGTACTTCAGATGTGAACGGGTCTAATTTCAGCATAAGTAGGCCACTTTGTAGCCTTGGAAACGCGTGTTCTTCAAAGCTGCCGAAGTACACTTTCAAGTCACGTTCAACCAGGCTTACAGTTTACTTACGCTTTATCAAAACAAGATAAGGAAATTGAAACATCAATCAAACTCGTTCGCATCTGGCAGGAAATTGAACACACGCACATCTCACTCGATTGCTTACTTCAGGGTCAAGGTTTAGGAACAAAGAAAAGAGCATGGAAAACTCAAATTTTTATCAACGTAGGCCTTACTTCCACGTTTTGGACGACGGAGACGACTATTTCGATCAAGGACTCATGTAAGTTGACCAGACCTCAAACCTCTCGGACTTAAAAAGAAATCATTCACTCATGTAATGCTTTTGTTCATTTAGCGATAACTTAAATCGACGGATTGCGAGGGAAAACTCGGGACAGTCGTCAATCAGTGGGCAATATTGGCCTTTCCCAGCTGCAAGCACCTCATTTTACCGTCCATCTGAACCTCAACCAACAAATCAGTTTACAAACCGGATAGTGCCCTGTCGAACAGAGTCACCGATTCCACTTGCAGCGAGCACGCCACCCTCTTCTTCTGCTGCTTCAAGTGATTCTGAAGTAACGAATGTCACCGCCAAAGGAAATAAATCGCGTGCCAAGTCTGCCGACTGGACTGAAGAAGAAACTTTTGATCTTTTACAAGCATGGGGCCTCAAGTATGAGAAACTTCGAAGTGCTTCGCAGCGAGAGAAAATAGCCTTGTGGAATGAAATCTACTCCACGTATAAAGAATGCCATCCGAGGAGTACAAGAAGCCTGGCTCAGGTTAAAAGACGCCAGAAGAATCTAGAGTACGAATTCAAGCAACTAAAACAACGCACAAATCGATCAAAGACGGGTTTCCATATTTCGATCTTTTTGACGAGGTGATGGGTCATCGCGATAGCGTTGACTCGTCGAAAATGGCTATTGAGGGTAGCACAACATTTGCAAATGGTGAAAGTGGTGCTTCAAATGCAGCTGCAGATGTAACCGAAATCTCAATGAAAAGTTCAATTGAAGAAACTCCTTCCACGGCCACAGACATCGGGGAAAAAAGAAAGACAGACGAAAAGAGTCGAAGTAAGGTCAAAAGGAAGAGACGAGATGTTAAAGATGGTGCCGTTGCTCCTGAATGGCAGTCAAAGTTTTTTGAAATGTGGGAGCGCAGTATGGAAGAAGACAACGCCAGATACAAAAGGTCAGCTGAAATGTTTCGTGAAGCGCAAAATAAGCAGATGGAGCAAACCAATGCCATTCTTGCTGGATTCAAAGATATTTTCAAAGATTTAGTGTCAAAATAATTATAAAAAATTGTAAGTGTTCAGTTCAAAACGGACAACATTTAAGGGTTTGTTAATGTTTGGTCAGTCCAAACCAATGGAAGTGATTTTGACTTTTTTATTTCACGCATTTGTATAATCACATATCTTCATTTATGACTCCAGGTTTGATTCATGCTAATTAAAATAAAATCACAAAAATAGCTCACGCTTAGAATTGACCTTGTCATTTACTCGTTTTGGTTGTATTGCGCGTCAGACTGCTGAGGATTTGTTCTTTAAAGGTTTTCCCACACATAGTCTTTTAAAATATCTCGAATATTGTTGCCGGTTTCAATTCTCCCTTCGCTGTCACCATCAGAGCTATCGTCTGAGTCGCTATCGTTTGCTTCGTGTAGGTCACCCCTTTCAATGCAAATATTGTGTGAAACACAAGCTGCAATAACAGTCTTCTTCAAAGTTGTCGTTTTTTGTTCAATTGTCTTCAAAATAATTCTCCATCGTGATTTAAGCATGCCAAAAGCTCTTTCGAGTAGATTAAATTGAATAAATATCAGTTATTAAATTGAATGATTGGGGATTGAATTGAATGAAAATTGAGGATTAAATTGAATAGAAGTAAGCAAATAGCAAAAAAAAGGTATGCATTTATAAATATTGAATATTGCTACATTTGGCTTAGCATACAATACCTTGCAAAAGTACTTGCGTCTGATAAGGCGTCCTTTTTGCCTCTGGCTCACCCCATACGGATCCAGAATGCCCAAAGCAACTCAATCAGTCTCTCTGTCGAAGGGAAAGCCGGGAAATCCAGGTGATTCATCTTCATAGCTGAATTTTTCGGCTTCAACACTTACCAGAGAGAGCAATATAATGGACCACTTGTCTAGAAGTCCTAGGTGATAAAACTGTGTTCATTGTATTCTTTTATCTTCTAATTTGTAGCTGAGGCAAAGTCACTACAAGATATACTCGTAAGAGCTAAACTATGAAGGCAAGGTCAAAGCAACAACAACTGAGCCAAAGATAGACGTGAATAGCCTGTCAACATTATGAACAACTCAAACTATGAAGCTTAAAGGTCAAAGATATACAACAACTTGGCCAAAGAGAGTCGTGTATGGCCTGTCAACATTATGAAACATATTTGCGATATCTTATGACAGAGCCCCGTCCCTTAAGGTCAAAGATTATACAAGATTAACTTCTCTGCAGCAGAAAAAACTAGAGATAAAACACAAATTGTGTGGCCTTAAATAAAAGAACAGGCCTCATCCTTCAACTGAAGGAGGAGACAGCTAATGCAGATATGGCAAAAACAAAACCTTTTAGAACAGAGGCCGTGTTTTCACGAGCGGTTTTTCAGGTCGCTCAGCGAGTGACAAGCGGAAGTCCCGTGAAAACAGTTGTTTTTT